GCCTCGTGGATGCCTGTTGGGATCTCCTAGGAGGCCTCTCGGAAGCCTCTTCGATACAGTTTTGGGGCGTCCTGGCGCCTCCTGGGGGTCTCTTCGGGCTCCTTGGGGGCCTCGTCGGGGCCTGCTGGGGGTCTCCTGGGGCTCCTTGGGGGCCTCGTCGAGGCCTGCTGGCCGTCACGGGGTCATCTTGGGGTGGACGGCTCGAAATCTCAGTTCGTGCTCCCCCTTGTCGGGCCCCTCGGGGGACCCTCGTGGGGCCTGCCAGGGCGGCGTCGGGGCGCGCGGGGCCCCTCGGGAGGGGTGGCCGGCACGCGCGGCCGACTGTTCCAGTCCAGAAGCCGAGACTCGGTGACAATGTTGCCCCGCTGTGACGGAGGGGCTCTTTCTCTTGGAGAGGCGGAGGCCCTCAGTGACAGAAGGGGTGACCTTCCCGCTTCTCCTTCTCCTGCCCTCCCTCCTTCTCCTACGCTTCCTCATCCTCTTCATCCTCCTCCGGGGGGAGGGGGACTTGCTGAAACCCTACTGAGCAGCACTGGCCATCTGATCACGCCTCAGCGTGCCAGAGGGCACGGTGGCGCACTTTTATGATGATGGTAGTGTTTGGTGATGACGACGACGATGCTGATGACGATGATGATGCTGATGATTATGCTGATGATGATGCTGATGATGATGCTGATGATGATGATGATGATGAATGCTAATGGTGACGATGATGCAGATGATGCTGGTGCTGAGTTGATGATGAAGATGGTGGTGATGATGATGGTGGTGATGATGCTGATGATGCCGATGCTGATGCCGATGCTGATGCTGCTGATGATGAAGATGATGATGACTGCGGTGATTATGATGATGATGATGATGATGATGATGATGATGATGAGGATAATGATGACGATACTGATGATGATGGATGATGATGATGATGATGATGATGATGATGATGATGCTGATGATGATGATGATGATGATGCTGATGATGATGATGATGATGATGATGATGATTCTGATGATGATGCTGATGCTGATTATGGGGATGATGGTGATGATGAGGAGGATGAGGATGATGATGGGGGTGATGGTGGTGCTGATTGTGGAGGTATGATGATACCGACGAGAACGACTACGATGGCGACGGCGACGTTGACGATGCCGGCGACGATCACTGTCATGATGAATGAAGGATAGATTGGAAGGAGGAGGATTAGGAGGAGGGGGAGGAGTGTGAAACGATATGAGAAGGACGATGAGGAGATGGAGGAGGAGTATGAGGAGGAGGAGGAGGGGGAGGAGTTTATGGGGAGGGTTACATGGAGGAGGAGGAGGAGGAAGAGGAGGAGGAGGAGGAGGAGGATGAGGAGGAGGATGAACACGCAGTGGGTTGGACAGGCACCGCGACATTGCGCAGAGCTTAGATCGATTGGGGTCCTTGCAGCTTGCGGATCGGGCAAGGTCCCGATCACACGTTTACCGGTATTGGGCGGACTGCGTGCCTTGCGCGAGTCACTGCGAGGAAAGGCGCGCTGCGTGTGGACTGGAAGCAGCTGGGTCGGAGTGAGGCGATGTGTCACCGAGCTGTATTCTGTTGTTCCACCTGGCCCTGCCGCTCGGGCGAGGGACCCCCGTCTTGCAAGGATTCGTTCTTCGTCCTCCTGGCTTTCAGTCGGGCGTGTCCCTGCACAGGAGGAATATTCAAACATAGCAAAACAATAGTCAGGGGAGTTTTTTTTTGCTGTTGTGTGTTCTCTTACTCCTTCTTCTTCTTCTTCTCCTCTTTCTTCTTCTTCTTCTTCTTCTTCTTTTTCTTCTTCTTCTTCTTTTTCTTCTTCTTCTTCTTCTTCTTCTATATATATATATATCTCCGTAAGAGCCTCGCCCCATGCCGCCAGCCCCCTGTCTCGGACAATGGGAGATGCAAAAGCTAAATCATGAGGTCTGGGCGCCGCCGTGAAGCAGTGTCCGGACCTGTTTGTTTTTGGACCCTGACCATGCGGATCTGCGTCACGGGTGCCACCAAATTTCAGAAATGTGGCAAATCCCCTGTGTTTTTCGACCCTGACCCCACGGATCCGCGTCAGGGGTGCCACCGAATTTCAGAACTGTGGCAAATCCCTTGTGTTTTTCGACCCTGACCCTACGGATCTGCGTCACGGGTGCCACCGAATTTCAGAAATAAGGCAAATCCCCTGTGTTTTTCGACCCTGACCCTACGGATCTGCGTCAGGGGTGCCGCCGAATTTTAGAAATGTGGCAAGTCTCTTGTGTTTGTGGACCCTGACCCTGCCGATCTGCGTGAGGGGTGCCACCGAATTTTTGAAATGTGACAAATCCCATATGCTTTTGGACCCTGACCCTGCCGATCTGCGTGAGGAGTGCGACCGAATTTTAGAAATGTGGCAAGTCCCTTGTGTTTTTGAACCCTGACCCTGCCGATCTGCGTGAGGGGTGCCACCGAATGTTAGAAATGTGGCAAGTCCCTTTGTGTTTTTGGACACTGACTCCGCCGATCTGCGTGAGGGGTGCCATGTTGCAAATCCCGTGTGTTTTTGGACCCTGACCTTGCCGATCTGCGTGAGGGGTGCCACCGAATTTGAGAAATGTGAGAAATCCCATATGTTTTTGGACCCTGACCCCGCCGATCTGCCCCTGACCCCGCCGATCTGCGTGAGGGGTGCCACCGAATTTTAGAAATGTGGCAAATCCCCTGTGTTTTTGGATCCTGACCCCGCCGATCTGCGTGAGGGGTGTCAATTTTTACCCACCCAAGCAATTCAGACAACACGCTCAGGGTGTGGTAAAAATACCCGTTTTGGGCCTCCCCCCTCGCGCGGTCCATCAACAAGGAACAGTAAGCAGCAAGAAGTCAACAAGGAACAGTAAGCAGCAAGAAGCAGAACTGTAACAGTGGAAACTGGAAGCTGCAACTGGTACAGGAAATTGCGAAGCTTCGTCCTACAGCCTGGTGGCCCCACCAGGGGGCCGGCGGAAATGTATGTATATATATTTCTATATAGAGATTAAAACATAAAATACAGCTGGGGGTGTTTCTTTGCGTATGTGTTTTTTCACCCATCATCTGCGTGTAGAGGGGACCCGCCCGACCTAGTCCCAGCTACCGGTGTGGCACAGTGGCAGGACGAGAGAAAGTTCCAGGAAGTGTCCAGCGGTAGCCCCGCTTCGAGGAGGATCTCTTCCCTCCAACTGGAGATGTAAGTCACGACGACTGTACCAGTCTCAGAGGAGACGTCCTCCATCAGCCGCGCGCAGAGGGGGGGTGGGGGAGGGGGGAATCCTTCTTCGAAGCACCCCTGCTTCTCAGAAGGCGCGGGCCTCATCTGTAGATGCAAGGCCGGCGCCTTCTAAGAGGCAGCCTCCTCCTTAGAAGCCCTCCCCCTCCCTCCACCCCCTTCTGCGCGCCGCCAACCCCGTTCGCGAAAGTGTGGCAGAAATTAGAACTGCATGTAAAGAGCTGGAAGAGCTATCAACCGAGACCAGCGTATTGAACGCGTTGTATGTTTTGAATGCGAATGTGCGCGGCGCTCAGGCGAGAGCATCGGCCCTCCATCCTTGCGATTGTCGGAAAAGCTTAACGTGGCGGCGTGCAGGCGAGGACCGCATTGCGGAGCCCACCTGCCCGCCATTCTTGTAATTTTTGGGAGTTTCGTAAAAAAAAAGTGCGCGGCGCGAAGGCGAAATCCGTATTTTGAAAAGCACTGGCCGTCCGTCTTTGTTACTTTAGGAGACTTTTCAGGGAATATGCACGGCGAGACGGCGATGGTTGCATTTTGAAGACGGCCGGCCCTACATCTGCGAAAACGCTGGGTCTTCTCGTAAAGATAGTTCAGTCTTAGACGAAACACTCAGCCATGTCTACATTCCCTTCCTACAGACGTGCCTGGTGTTGCGACAGGGGGGGACTTGTTTTTATGTCAGGACGAGGGTCGGAGGATGATGATGAGGAGGAGGAGGAGCAGGAGGACAACGTCGGTGGGCAGGCACGATGGCCTTGCGTCGGACATGCCAGCATCTCTCTCAAAGTAGGGTGCTTGATAGCGGGCTTGGCGTGTGTTGGTGACAGGCAGAAGCAACGTAGACTCTTGCGCGCCGGACAGGTTTGACGTGTATTCCAAGGTACACGATGATTACCGGGTCAAGACGAAGAGCGGCGGCTTGATATCTGTGGTTGCGATTATAATCATGCTCATTCTGTTCACTTCGGAGTTGAACTCGTACCTCACCGTCGAGGTGGTAGACGACCCCACGCTTCCTCCTGTCCCGCTTGCCTGCTGTCCGCTTCCCTCCTCCCTCGTCATCCCTGCTCGCTTTTCCTCCTCCGTTCCCCCTCCGCTTCTCTCGTCCATCAGTATCCGGGCGGGTGACCAGCTCATGAACCTTGTGATCAGCTCGCAGGCTAGCGGACGGGAGTTTGGCGGGTACGGGATCCATATCTCGCGTCAAGGCCGGATGCAGTTTTGCCTCCTGCTTCGTGTGCCAGCCAGGGCTTCCATGCCGGAACGGGACGCGAGGAGGGCCGAACGTGACGGGATGCGGTGCCCCTTGTTCTGGGCTTCATGCGCTGCGGAGCAGGGCCGCGGCTTCGGCGTCAAGGACGGCCGCATGCCCTCGGACAGCAGCTCCTCTGGCCGGACCCTTCATTGGTCTCACCTGTCGGCGGCGAGCGAGTGGGGGGCAGTGAGAAGGAGAAGGCCGTCTCAGAAGCCCTCGCACCTTCGGAGAAGTTCTTTGTGTCTTCGGGGAGCCTTCCTGCGCCCTGTCTCCCGAAGTAAAGCTGCGCGTAGCCCGCCTAGCTTTTAGCGGAAGAGGCTCGCTCTCGCCCCGCCGACCAAAGCTTGTGTCTTCGGGGAAGGCCTAGAAGACTTCTCGGAAGGCCGGGGAACTTCCGAGCCTTCTGGGACGGCCGGCCCCTTCTCACTTCCCCCCCGGGCTCGCCGCCAAGCCTGTGCGGAGTGCGGACCGCCGTTGGCTTTACACTTCTGTCCACTTCATCAGCGGGCCTGCCTGCGGCTCCCCCGCAGGAGCAAGGCATCGGCGCCGGCGTGACCGAGGCCCTCCCTGCGGCTCGTGCAGCCAAGTCAGCCGCAGGGAGGGAGCACGAGCGTGCTCCGCCTTACCACCCTCATTATGGTGGCTCTGGATTGCCGCGCTTCCAGTGTTTCCCCCCTCCCGCCGAATCCCTTGTCCATCCTCCCTCCTCCTTCCTCTCTCCTCCCTACTCCCCCCTTTCTCTGCACTCCTTTCCCTCTTTCCTCCTGTCCTCGTCCCTCCCTCCTTCCTCCTCCGTCTTCCGCCCTCCCTCCTGTCTGCTCATTCCGACGTTCCCGCCTTCCTCATCCCTCTCCCCTCCTCGTCCGTTCCCGCCGCAGCCCTGTCGGCCCAGGTGGTGGACCACATCGTGGTGGACACCGCGCTGAACGAGAAGCTGCCGATCGGCCTGAACATCACGTTCCCGCACCTCCGCTGCGACGAGGCCGTGACGGGCGGAGTGCGCGACGGAGGAAGGGGATCGACGTGTCGCACGGAACGGAACGGAGCGGGACAACATGGAAGAGAGAGTGCTCCGAGCCTGCAAACTTAGCCTTCCAACTCTCTCCAGACATTCACGGCCCTTCAATCTGGTTTCATAATGATGATGATGATGATGATGATGATGATGATGATGATGGTGATGATGATGATGATGATGATGATGATGATGATGATGATGATGATGATAATGATGGTGGATGGCCAGGAGGAGGAGGTGGAGGTGGAGGAGGACCAGGAGGAAGAATATGATGAGGTCGAGAAGCATATACGGGCTTCCCCAGCAGCTGTTGGGACACTGCCTATGTCGTGCGCCCGTAGTGAGGTATTCCCACCCCAGCAGCTGTCCTCCTGACCGTCCTTCATGCCTAGGGCTGCTGATGTAGCTCACGCCATGCGAAGGGCCACAACCCAAGCGCGCCGAGCACCCACGTGGCTCCAGCAGCAGCTGTGCCTCCACACACCAAAACAGCAGTGCCTGGGCGCACCGCCGCCGTTGTCGTCCCCTCCCCCTCCGCTCCTCCGCTCCTCCGCTCCTCCTCCTCCCCTCCCCTCCCCTCCTCCCCTCTCCTCCTCCTCCTCCCCACCTCCTCCTCCTCATCCTCCTCCTCGTCATCCTCCTCCTCGTTCCTCCTCCTCGTCCTCCTCCTCCCCTCCTCTCCCTCCTTTATCCTTCTCCTTTTTCTCTCTCCATTCCTCCTCCTCTCTCCCCTCCCCTCCCCTCCCCTCCCCTCCTCTCCCCTCCCCTCCCTTCCTCCCCTCCTCCCCCTCCGCGTCCAGCCCGAGGTCTCTGTCGACACAGTGGACTCCACGGGCGAAAACCAGGTGGACATTGCCGGGGATCTGACGAAGCTCAACCTGGACCGGGCGCGCGGTGTCTGAGCTGGCGGCCGATTCGTTTTTTTTCCTCGCATCGGTGCATCACTGCTCTTCGAAGATATTTTGGGCCGCGCGGGATCGGGTGACGGCTCCGCGGCAAGGTAGACGGCCGCTCGCTATGAGGTGTTTGAGAAGGGGGGAGGAGATGAGGAGGAGGAGGGAGGCCCAGGGAGGAGGGAGGAGAAAGTCCTGCACATGGGTTGTACGAAAAGAGAAGGGAGGATGAGGAGAAGGGGGAGGAGGAGGAGGGAGGACGGGGATGAGAGGAAGGAGGAGGGAGGAGGAGGAGGAGGAGGAGGAGGAGGAGGAGAAGGAGGATAATGATGATGATGAGGAGGAGGAAGGGAAGGGAAGGGAAGAGAAGGGAAAGGAAGTGACGGGAAGGGAAGGGAAGGGAAGGGAAGAGGAGGATGAGGAGCAGGGTGATGATGTAATTTGGCGCAGGAGGATGGCTGGGAGGAAAAGGGAGGAGGCGGTGGATGCAGGTCGAGAATTTTTATTTTCATGTCGAATGCTGCGTCCTCCTTCTCCTCCCCCTTCCTTCAGGCTCCTGGGGGCCCCTTGGGGCGGAAGCCTCGAATTGTCGGTTCGTCTTCCCCCTCTTTGGCCCTTCTGAGGGCCGTCCTGGGGCCCTCTTGCGCCGTCTTCGGCGCCCTCGGGGCTGTCTTGGAGCCCGCTTGGGTCGTCTTGTTACAGTCTTGGGGGCACTCATGGGCCGTCTTGGGGCACTCATGGGGGCCTCTGCGGAAGCTCGAAAAGGCGAGAACCACAAAATATTTGAAGCACCTCAGGGAAATCATGTTTTTTTGCCTCTCGGGGCCTTCTTTGGGCCTCCTGGGGGTTTCTTGTGGCTTCTTAGGGGCCTCAGGTCGGAAGGTTCTAATTCTTGGTCCGTGTTCCCCCTCTTGGGCTACTCTCGGGGCCGTCTCGGGCCCTCTTTGGCGTCACTTGGGCTGTCTAGGAGCCCTTTTGGTCCGTCTTGGAGCTCTCTTGGGGGCATCTTGGGCCGTTTTCAGGCAGCCTTGGGGGCCGTTTGGGTCATTTTGGGGCTTCGGACGCTTGAAAAGGCGCGAACCCAACAAAACATTGAAACGCCTCAGGAGCATCATGGGTTTTTGCCTCCTCGGGGCCCTCCTGGGAAGGCTCCTGGGGCTCCCTTGGGACGCTCCTGGGCCGTCGTGGGGCCATCTTGGGCCGTCCTGAGGCCAGTTTTGGAGACATCTTGGCTTTGGAGCGCGAGCCGGTCGTACTCTGCAACGGGTTGTGGCCTAGAGAGAGAGAGAGAGAGGGCGATGCATGCAACCGAGTGCGACGAGTGGGGGGGGGCCGCTAGATCCCTACAGAAATCCAACCAGACAGCACTTGGCATGACGGGAAGCGCCCCCGGCGTGCCCGTTTTGTTGGTGGTAAGAATTTATTCATGGCTACGGATTGCACCGGGCGCTCACGCTGGCGGATGACGGGAAGCGTCTTCGAGGTACGAGAAGCAAGCGGGACGTTCTGGCTGAATCCTTGAGTAAATATATATATATATATATATATATATATATCTTTATATCTATGGGTTGCGGGGGTGCACGGGGTTTTTCGTTGGCGGATTCCCCAAAATGGCCATTTCGCTCGAGACATCCTCGAAAAATCGAGGTGTTGGAGGCTATCGTTTAAGACGTCTTATGTTAAAAATGACGGTTTCGCTCGAGACATCCTCAAAAAATCGGGATGTTGAAAAATATCAAAAATGACGGGAAGCGTCTTCGAGGTACGAGAAGCAAGCGGGACGTTCTGGCTGAATCCTGAGTAATTATATAGTTAGCATTTGTTTAAAATTATATATATATTTTATTCATTAATTATATATATATATATATATCTTTATATCTATGGGTTGCGGGGGTGCACGGGATCATTCGTTGGCGGATTCCCCAAAATGGCCATTTCGCTCGAGACATCCTCGAAAAATCGAGGTGTTGGAGGCTATCGTTTAAGACGTTTTATGTTTAAAATGACGGTTTCGCTCGAGACATCCTCAAAAAATCGGGATGTTGAAAAATATCAAAAATTTTTGTTATGCATGAAAAATGAGCGTTTCGCTCGAGACATCCTCGACAAAATGAGATGCCGACAGAGGTGTTTTAGAACCTCTTATGTCAAACATGACGTTTTCGCTCGGGACGTCCTCAGAAAATGAGCAGGTGGTCTGCCGTGCTGACGTGTGGAGCACGGCAGACCACGGCCATTTCTTCGCTCGAGACATCCTCAAAACATCGAGGTGTGGTCTGCCGTGCTCCTGTGTGGTCTGCCTTGCTCCTGGGGGGCAAACCAGCAACACGTCAAGAAGTTACCCAGGGGACCAATCAGCAACACGTCAAGAAGTTATCCTGGGGGGCAAACCAGCAACACGTCAAGAAGTTATCCCGAAGGGGCAAACCAGCAACACGTCAAGAGCGAGCTGAGGGGGGCAAACCAGCAACACGTCAAGAAGTTATCCTGGGGGGCAAACCAGCAACACGTCAAGAAGTTATCCTGGGGGGGGCAAACCAGCAACACGTCAAGAAGTTATCCTGAGGGGGCAAACCAGCCACAGGTCCAAAAGTTGCTGAGGGGGGCAAACCAGCAACACGTGAAGAAGTTATCCTGACGGGGCAAACCAGCAACACGTCAAAGGTTATCCTGAGGGGGGCAAACGAGCAACACGCCAAGAAGGGGCTGAGGTGGTCGACCACCAACACTTCAATAAGTTACCCTGAGGCAAAACCAGCCACTCGCCAAGAAGTCATCCTGAGGGGGCAAACCAGCAACACGTCAAGAAGGTGCTGAGGGGACAAACCAGCAACACGTCAAGAAGGTATCCTGGGGGGGGCAAACCAGCAACACGTCAATGCGGTATCCCGAGGGGACCAAACCAGCAACACCACTGCCGTGCTTCTTTGGTGTCTGCCGTGCTCCTGTGGAGTTTGCCGTGCGAACGTGTGGTCTGCCGTGCTCCTGTGTGGTTTGGCGTGCTCCTGTGTGGTCTGCCGTGCTCGTGTGTGGTTTGCCGTGCTCCTGTGTGGTCTGGCGTGCTCCCGTGGAGTCTGCCGTGTCCTGTGTGGTCTGCCGTGCTCCTTTGGGGTCTGCCGTGCTCCTGTGGTCTGCCTTGCTCCTGTGGGGTCTGCCGTTGTTCGGCCGTCTTGAGGGCACTCTTCCTGCATAGTCTGCCGTGCTCCTCGTCTTGGTCTGCCGTGCTCCTCGTCTTGGTCATCCTTTCCGTCGTCTTGAGGGCGCTCTTGGTGCCTGGTCTGCCGTGCTCCTCGTCTTGGTCTGCCGTGCTCCTCTCGGTTCCTAAGCCTGGTCCGCCGTGCTCCTCGTCTTGGTCTGCCGTGCTCCTCACAAAGGAGCACGCCAGACCACACAGGAGCCCGGCAGACGCCACAGGAGCACGGCAGACGCCACAGGAGCACGGCGGAACCCACAGGAGCACGGCAGACCGCGCGCGGGTACAACATAAACGCGCCTTTTTGTTGTACCCCGAACGCCGCTGGCGTTTCCCCAACTGGAGCACGGCAGATCTCACAGGCGCGCGGCAGATATATATCTTTAACTATATGGGTTGCCGCGCCGCACGGGATTCACACAGGAGCACGGCAGACTCCACAGGAGCACGGCAGACCACAAAGGAGCACGGCAGACCACACAGGAGCCCGGCAGACGCCACAGGAGCACGGCAGACGCCACAGGAGCACGGCGGAACCCACAGGAGCACGGCAGACCGCGCGCGGGTACAACATAAACGCGCCTTTTTGTTGTACCCCGAACGCCGCTGGCGTTTCCCCAACAGGAGCACGGCAGATCTCACAGGCGCGCGGCAGACCCCAAATGAGCACGGCCGACCACAGGAGCACGGCAGACCCCAAATGAGTACGGCAGACCCCAAAAGAGCACCGTAGACGCTTCAGGAGCACGGCTGACCACACAGGAGCACGGCAGCCTGGGCCGGTTCCGGCGCCGGCCGGCGCCGGAAAATTGAATTCCGAGGCGGTGCCGAAAAAAGGCCACTCCAAGACATATTTTTCTTTCGAAAATATTGTTTTTCTGCTCCCGGCGCCCGGGAACCCCTTCCGGGCCGCTTCTGGCACCCGGGCCGGCGCTCGAGCCAAACGCCCGGGCCAGCACCCGGGCCAGCGCCCGGGCCGGTTCCGGCGCCGGCCGGCGCCGGAAAATTGAATTCCGAGGCGGTGCCGAAAAAAGGCCACTCCAAGACATATTTTTCTTTCGAAAATATTGATTTTCTGCTCCCGGCGCCCGGGAACCCCTTCCGGGCCGCTTCCGGCACCCGGGCCGGCGCTCGAGCCGAACGCCTGGGCCAGCACCCGGGCCAGCGCCCGGGCCGGTTCCGGCGCCGGCCGGCGCCGGAAAATTGAATTCCGAGGCGGTGCGGAAAAAAGGCCATTCCAAGACATATTTTTCTTTCGAAAATATTGATTTTCTGCTCCCGGCGCCCTGGAACCCCTTCGGGGCCGATTCCGGCACCCAGGCCGGCGCTCGAACCGAACGCCCGGGCCGGCACCTGGGCTGGCGGCTGACGCGAGAAGGACGGCAATGCGGCAGTTCCCGCAAGATCGTTCCAGAGTGGGAGGGGGGACGGCGAGCTGGGCGGGGTGAAGGAACCAGAGCACTGCTCAGCCTTCCTTCAGCCTGGGTCTGTGACCACACAGGAGCACGGCAGAACACACAGGAGCGCTGCAATCCACAAAGGAGCAAGGCAAGATCGAGACCCCAAAATGAGCACGGCAGACCACCACGTTCGCACGGCAGACCGCACCGGAGACGGCAGACGCACTATGTGCAGGCAGACAAGAAGGAGGCACGGCAGACCACACTGGAGCCCGACGAACGTCCACAACAACAGGAGCAGTCCGTTAGGGCAGACCACACAGGACACGGCAGACCCCACGGGAGCACTGCAGACCACACAGGAGCACGGCAAACCACACAAGAGCACGGCAGAC